AGGATGTTTCTTGTCCTGGAGAATCACAGCATCACTGGATCACTGAAGTCTCAGTTGTGACCGGAGGCCAAACTGGAGTTATTCTGTAGCTGGGCTGTAGGCAAGAGAACTAGGCTAACCAAATGATTTATCCCTAGAATTATGTAGCATTGCTCCCAACAGAAAGGCTATAAAAACTCTTTATGATTCTTTCTATAAGGGAAGAGATGCTACATGGAAAATGATCACCAGAATTTTCATAGGACTAGGACTAGCAGCAAACACTTGACAGGTTTGCCAAGCTTGGATACTCTGTGGCTACAATAAGCCTGGCAAACCCAAACCACTTCCTTTATTAGAACCTGTACAGAGTAGGGGACATAACTTGGGGAGGACTGGCAATTAGACTTTACCCACATGCCACCATGTGGGGGATTTAAACAGATATTGGTCCTAATTGACATATTTATGGGTTGGATTGAGGCCTTCCCTACCCATTCAGAAAAGATTATAGAGGTAATCTAGTTGCTCCTCAAAGAAATCATTCCCTGGTCCCTTCAGTGTGACAATGAACTTTTTTTCCTTCTCAGATAACTCAGGGGGTGGCAAAGGGTTTAGAAATAAGTACCATCTCCATTCTACATGGAGACCTCAGTCTTCTGGAAAGGTCAAGACAGCCACCCAGACCCTAAAGCCAGGTCTGGCAAACTTTTGCCAGGAAGCATCTGAGTCCTGGCTGCAATTACTCCCAATACCCGTCATGAGGGTTTGAAGCACCCCCCAAAATTGGGCTAAATATGAGTCCAGTTATGATGTTATATGGGAGGCCGTTTCTATCCAGAGATCCAGAGACCCAGAGATCACGAGACTCTAACAATATCTTATTAATCTAGGCTAAGAACAGTAGGCTATTCAACTGCATAGGAACAGAGTCCCACTAGCTCCTGGCCGAGGGCATCTGCCCTGGAGACCAAGTGCTCATTAAAACTTGGAAAGAGGGGACACCTGGAGGCCAATTAAGACCAAAAGGGAAGGGCTCCTTTTCAGTGATCCTTCTCACAACCACTGCAATAAAGATGGCAGAGATAGATAACTGAATTCACTTTTCTAGGACAAAGCCAACCCCATTTGAACTCTCTGAAGAAAAAGATCACCCAAGAGGAAAAAGCTATTCCTACGAACCCCTGGAAGACCTGAGATTCAGCTTCAAAAAGCAAGACTCCAGTACTGCTATAGATAAGTAAACAAGATCTTGCTAAGGCCATGGCTCTCAGGCTCTCCATAATTTATCTGACATCCTCTTTGACCTCGTTTTCCAAAGGAAGTGTGGAAATCTGACCTACTCCTCACGTTTGGGCTGTACTTCCCCAATTTAACAGCGTTTCTCCCACCAAACAGACTGCTTGTTACTCTTTTTCTCATTGTCTTCTAGTTGGTTTTTTTCCCCTCTTCAACCCAGACAGCGAGCCACAACACCTTCAGATAGTTTAAGACCACATAATCTCAGTAAGTAGGGTCTACAGCCCCTTCCAGCCAGAAGTAGCTATATGAACACAGACCCTCCACTCCCTCAGCACCCCATAAGGAATCCCCATAAGGGGATATGTCTCTCACAGGGAAATGAGTCAGGAAGGTGGGGCGTGGCTAACACTAGATGGGAAAATAGGTGTACTCCTTCATCCCAAGACACAGGCACAGAACAATTCTGTGTTGATAGGGTGACCCGGAAGTGCTGCCAGAATGGGCGATATCAAAGAGAGACAGTCACCATTAACGATTTGCTATGTTTCTCTTCACGACAGCCCATCCTACTCTGTAAAGTGCATTTTTTCTCCTCCCCCTTTCCCTACTTTTACTTGGCCCAAACTCATTCTGCAGCGCCTTTTTTTTTCTACCTTTAATAAACGTGAAACTTTGCTGTTTATGCTTGTTTCATTCAATTCTATGGGATAGAAGAATCTAGAAATCACCTCTAGAAGTAGACTCCAGCACCCCAAAACCTGGTAACTGAGCCCTATTCCTACCCCCACTTTATCTGGTGGAGACCTAGCCCTAGTCGGGAGGAGACCTAGCTTTAGTCCTAACCCTACACTGTGGAGCTCTAGCTCTAACCCTGGCCCTGGTGGAGCCCTAGCCTTGGAGAAGCCCTATCCTTAGCAGCGGCCCAGTCCTAACCCGGTGGACCCGTAGCCATATCCCTGGCAGAACCCAAACCTGCGTTCTAGAGAAAACGCTGCCGCTCTGCACCCGGCCTGGGCGGGGCGCGGGCTTGGAGGTCTGCGCCTGCGCACACGCGTTTCCCCGTCTCCGGACTCGCTGGCGGTTGCAGTCACGCATCTGGTGAGTGCAGCCCTGGACTCCGCCTGGCTGTTTCCTTCCTGTGAGGTCTTTGGTCTGTTACGGGGCTTCCGAATGTTTCTCAATCTCTGTCCTGGGCAGTAATGGGGGTGCAACAATGAGTGGTGGCCGGGGCAGGGTGGGCAAGCGGAAGCCGGTCAGACAGGGTACTGAGTGGCTGGCTCAGTGGGCCCGGTTCCCTCCGGAGAACCGCGCGCCGCCTCCTCGCCCGCTCTCTCCTGTGGTTAACGAAACTGCGGAGGGTGGGGCTTTCTGACCTTTTCCCTGTTTGGCCCCAGACATTCAGTGCAGCAGTTTGAGAAACGCCCAGCCTGGGCCGGGGATTTAGCTCAGTGGTTTCGCAGCCTGCTGCGCAAGCGAAAGGACCGGAGTTTGATCCCCGGTACCAAAAAAAAAAGAAAGAAAGAAATGCCCAGCCAGACCTGGTGTCCACTCTGGGCGATCAGCCGTGGTCACCTATCATTTGAGGACTTCTGAGGCAGGCCTCCTGCTAGTTGCCGGAAATGTGGAGCAGAAACGATGCGCCCAGGCAGATGGGCCATACAAACCGCAGTAGGTGGCCCCTGAGTGCTAGGACAGGGAAAGAACGGGGTCCAGCCGGGTACTGCAGGGAAGACTTTCAGGAAGAAACTGTAGGAGGAGGCTTTCTTGTTAGCAGTGGTGACTACATACCAATGCACATCATAACCTACCACATATAAACATGTATGATCTGCTTTTCGTTGTATATAAATTTAACTTCAATTTTTCAAAGTTAAGAAAATAACAGGATAAATAGAATTTTAGAAAGTGAGAAGAGAGGAACTGTTTCAGGCATGAGAGTTGCATATGTGAGGATGCAAGACTGTGGCTTTTTTCTGGAAGTAAGTCGGATTAACTGTAGAACCATGTAGAGTACATAGAAACTGTTTAGAGACCTTGTAGGCCATTTGTCTTCATTCACAGAGGGACCCTTCCAGACTAGTCCAGGTATCCTGTCTCTCCCCCTTCAACTTAGTGAGGCGGAGACGAATCCTAGATTGATGATCTTTCCAGTGGATCACACCGTCTTGCCCTAAATTTCTTGCAGAAGGCAATATGATCCCACGAAATTATACAGTGGGTAGTTTCATGTTAAGTAGGTTTAATGCATGGAAACAGAAAATTTTCATGCAAATCGAGGATAAACACAGCATCTAGGATCCTGCGAATTCCTTTGGAGCTGCCAGTTAATGTGTCCCACCCATTTGCTCAGATGTTCCATCTTTCTGTAATCTTTACTCGATATTCTTCTCAGGCAAAGTCAAAACATCACCTGCTCTTTCAGCTTTTTTCCTGTTCTCACTCAGGTTCTCACTATTGTTCTGAACAACACTCCCATGATAAAGGGCTCACTACATTCTCCTGATTATTTATCTCTCTAGAGAAGTGATGGCGAACCAAGTGCCATACTACAACCCAAAACCCACTTACTTATCGCCAAGTGCCATCACTGCAATTAAACCTCAATAATGAGGTTTTAGTTTAGAAAAAACGACTCTACATTGACATCTTTTGTTGTGAAAGAAAAACACAATAACACATAAGCCATAGGTTCACCACATTGCTCTAGAGTTTCTCAACCTCAGCATTATGGATGTTTCCCAAGGTCCTGAGTTCAATCCCTGGTACAAAAAAACAAAACATTATGGATACTTGGGGCAGATCCTTCTTTATTGTGAGGGGTGTCTGATGGATTGTAGGGGGTTCCACAGCATTGCTGGCCTTTTTCTACTGGTTGCCAGGAGCACCTCCCCAATTATGACAATCAGATGTCTCCAAATAAATGCCACATTTCCCCTTAGCACAGTGGCTTCTGGTTTTCCCATAAAAACAACTGATCTAGAGGGTGAGGCCCAAGATCAATTTAATAATAACTAACACAGCACCTGCCAACTCTTTGGACTTGAAAATCTTTTTAACTGCAATTTCACAAACTCATTTTGAAATTATAAAATAATGTAGTAACTTGGGAGCCAAGCTTGGTGCCACATGCTTGTACTCTCGGAAGCTAAGGCAGAATGATGGCAAGTTCAAATCCATCCTGGGCAACTTAGTGATGTGAAGGTAATAATTATGTACTGCAGACATGTACTAATAAAATTTTTTAAAATTAAATTTTAAATTGGGGAATGCAGTTAAGTGCAAGGGGCCTAAGTTCAATCCCCAGTACTCTACTCCTCTGCAAAAAAGGAAAGATTCTTTAACTTTGGTGATGTTTATTTTGTAAATTTTTTGCTTTTTATCCCCATTGAACAAGTGATGCATTTTTGAACTTGCTTCAATATTGTAGAGTCCTGTGATTACTGAAATTACAGCCCTTATACTAGTCTCCATGTACTTCATGGGCCCTGTTGTCACCTCACATATGCTTCATTTATGTTGTTTATGTCTCTTTCTGCCTCAATTTAGTATAAGCTCCAAGAGAATGGGAACTTTTGGTCCCGTCACTGAGACCAGAATTTAGTGATATAAGGTACGTTGATAAATGATTATCAAAGGAGCAGATTGGATAAACCTTTTATTTTGGGATCAAATTAATATAAAATATAGATTGGCATTTGTCTTTTACAGGCATTAAAGTCAATTTTCTTAAAGTGCTTTGGAGTTCTTTGTTTTGTATTCAGCCTACTGGTTTCTTTTTATGGTTTTCATGTTTTATTTTTAAGTGATTAGCAAAGATATTTTAGGGTATTGTTTGAAAGCCCTTCTCCAGAGATGCAGCTGTGGGAAATGTCTAGTACTCATAAAGACAAATTGAACTCTTTCTGTCTGTACCAAGGATATACATAGAGGTGTGTATTGGACATATATACCTTTCCTTCAGCTTTTCTAGGCAATATTGTGGTTCAACTTCAATCAGGAACTGGTTGTACCTGACAGGATACATTGGATTTTAATAGTTGCCTGATTCTTTGCCTGAATGAAAAGAACTCTGAATTTTGAAATATGAACCCAAAGTGAAACTTCTACTAATTTACACACCATTTTGCCATGTTTTCTCAATTTTAAGTTCAGTATGCACACAAAGTAATTTTGGAATTTCTACTTGGAAGTCCTGAAAATGTGTTCCTTTTGCTCCTTGCAGTAAACTAGAACCACTAATTTCAAGTGTTCTTACCATTCGTTGGTGGAATTGCTACAGACAGTTCTATGTTGATTTAGTTATTTGAAAGCTGTGCTCACTTCGGCAGCACATATACTAAAATTAGTTATTTGAATGCTAAATGTATAACCTCAAAAGTATAAAATTTGGCTGGGCGTAGCTCAGTGGTAGAGCATATGCTTAACATGCTTGAGCACTAGGGTTGAATCCTAGTGCATACACAAACACACACACACACACACACAAAGTAGATCATTCATCTTTTGATTCTTATGAAACCATAAAAACTAAACCTATTTTCAAATTAATTGCAAAGAAAATTATCAAACAAAATTCAAACTGAGTTCATTGTGAAGATTGTTTTGTTGATGAATTTGTAGGTAGTTCTTTTGAGGTTAGTATGCATAATCTGTAATCTGTCTTGAACTGTGTAATGAATTTGTTCTTTTCCTATTGGTTGAACATTTTTTTCTCTGCTGCAAATATTTTTCTCCTTTCTTTTCTTAAATGAGAAGTTACTCTTGAGATTCCAGTTTAAATACCATGTCTTCAGGGAAACCTTCCCTAACAACTAGAGTCATGAGAACAATTCAGTGTAATCCCTAGCTGTACAGTTTATGGATCTCTATTCTAATAACATTTTCTCCACATTTTTACTGTTATGGTAATATTCACATGACACAATTTTTTACCATGTTAACTTTTTTTTTTTTGAGACAAGGCCTCACTGTGCAGTTCAGGCTGGCCTTGGACTCATAGCAATCCTTTTGCCTCAGCCTCCTGAGTGCTGGTATTAAAGGCTTACCATACCTGGCTATGTTAACTATTTTTAAGTGTAAAGTTCAGTTCTCTTCAGTACATTCCCATTGCTGCATAACCATCATCCCTGTTCATCTCTAGAACTCTATCCTATAAGATCAAAACACTGTACCGATTAAACAAGTCTTTATTCTTCCCTTCCTTCAGCTCCCTTCTAACTATGAATTTGACTACTCTAGTTGCCTCATATAAATGGAATTATGCATCTTTTTATGATTGGCTTATTTCACTTAGCAAATAGTTTTGTTAATTATACCCCTGAAGCTTGAGAGTACACAGTTAAGTCCACTGAACCAGCAACTAGGTACCCCCCTCAGATTTTATCCATATTGTAGCATGTGTCAGAATTTTCCTCATTTTTAAGGCTGAATATTCCATTGTATATATAACATTTTGCTTGTCTGTTAAATCATATAGAAAACAAAAAGTGGAGTTTCAAAAATCAAGTTAGAATAATACTAGCTTTTATAATTAATCATGTATTTACCTTTACTGAGATCTTTATTTCTTCATATGGCTTCAAGTTACTGTCTAGTGTTCTTTCTTTCAAACTGTAGTAGTTCCCTTAGTATTTTTTGCAAGACAAGTCTAGTGATAATGAACTCCCTCAATTTTTGTTCATCTGTAAATGTCTTAATGTATCTCTTACTTTTTCCCCTTCCTGTGATATAGAGATTGAACCCAGGGCCTCAGGATAAGTACCGTATCACTGAGCTATACCCGCCCCTTTTATTTTGAGAGAGTCTTGCTGAGTTGCCCACACTGACCTTGAACTTTTGATTCTCCTGCTTCAGTCTCCCAGGTAGCTGGGATTACACACCTGGCCACTATCTCAATTTTGAAAAACATTTTTCCAGATGTGGGATTCTTAGTTGACTTTTTAATTTTTGTTTGTTTTTTTCAACACCTTGAATGAATGCCTTCCTTCAGTGCCTTCCGGCTGCCAAAGTTTAGAGAAATCTGCTGATCATCTTACTGGGGATCCGTTGTGTATGAGTCACCGCTTGCTGCTTTCAAGGTTCTCTTTTTAGCTTTGACA